GCTTCACTGGCCCATGTTGGTATTATCATTGCGCTCTTCCCGGGTGAGGCAGATCGGTCGCCGGCCATTGGGTGGCCACTCATGGTGGCTAACAGCAAGTCATGCTGGCTGCAGGCTGCTCATGCTGGCTGCCAGCCACTCACAGTAGCTCACAGCAGCCCACTGCAATAGGGTCTGCAGCCTATGCCGTCGCCGGCGACTCACGGCAGCCCAGCTCCAGGTTGAGCTGTTGTTCACCATCTTAGCTGTAGAGGGCACAGCATCACTGGCCCTCATCTGGGATCTGAACCAGGGCCCTACTGCTCAGAGCTGGCGTCCCAAGCCAACTCTTAACCAACGTGCCACTCAGCCGGCCCTGCCACCTTTTTTTTTTTTTTTACTTCAAATAAGCGACCTAGCTACTCTGGGTCCTGGTGTCTGCATCTGTAAAATGGGATGAATGAGAGCTGTGTACTGGAACACTGGGTTTAGTGTGCTTAGCACATTGTTATTATCCTAATATAACTGTCATTCTTTTAAAAAAATTTTTTTTAAAGATTTTATTGGGACATAGGGGGAGGGGAACAGCGTTGGGGAATTGAGGAAGGGAAACAGACAAGTTGCTGTCCTTCTGTTCTTCAGTCTAGTTGTGGAGGACGTCGCTTCACTGGCCCATGTTGGTATTGTGATCATTGCACTCTTCCCTGTTGAGGAAGTTGGTCTCCGGCCATTGTGCTGCCACTCACAGTAACTCATGGCAGCCTACTGCAGCCTATGCCATCCGGGGCGACTCACAGCCCAGCTCCAGGTGGAGCTGTTGTTCACCATCTTCGCTGTAGGGGGCGCAACATCACTGGCCCTCATGGTGGGATCCAAACCAGAGCTCTGCTGCTCACAGCTCAAGCTCTCAAGCCAACTCTTAACCAACAAGCCATTCAGCTGGCCCATAACTGTCATTCTTTTCATAGTTTGCTGAGTGCCCACTTTGTAGCAAGTCCTGGCCTCTGACTCTACACTTTGCCCACACTCAGGCCCCAGACAGATGGGGCAGGGAGTCCAGTGAATGCCTTTGTCCTGTTGGGAGAGCTTTTCAGGCCTCAGTGCCCTTTCCAGGCCTCTTGCCCACCTAGTACTGATCAGTTTGGGCCAGCCTTTCATCCTTGAGGCCTGCGCCTGCAGAAGAACAGCTTGGAGGTGGACTCAAAGCTAAGGTGGCTGGATGGGGCTGGAGTGCCAGGTCCAGGGCCTGTCCTGAACATGGCAGGGACGTCAGGGGGTCAGGGTCGCAGTGGAGAGGATGGCCAGGTCCAGAGGCCCCGATTGGATGGACGGTCAGAGGGGCGGGTCCGGAAATGAGCATCCCTGTAGCGCACCAGCCAGGGCCACCGGGTGGGCAGGTTACCGAGTTCAGGTCGCGGCCCTGACGGGTCAAGCGGCTGCGACGTCCTGCGGGAGTCCCCGAGCCGGGATGCCGAGGAGGCCGGGAAAACTGCGGGGACAAGAGGCAGACACCCGCGCAGCCAAAAGGCTAACCGCAGCCTCGGGGGCGGGGCGCCAGGAGGGCGTAGCTCCTGGAGCGACAGCGCACGTAGCCAACCGTGCCTCGGGTTAAGGCGCGCCGCTCAGTTTCTAGCAGCGCACGGGCGGTGGCAGGGGCCGGGCCTGGGCGGTGGCGGCTGCGCGCGGGCGCGGCACCCGGAAGTCGGCGGCGGCGGAGGCGGTGAGTGCGCGGCTGGCCGCCCGGGCCCGCGGACTCTTCTGCCCGCGGAGTCGGCCGGCCCGGGTTCGGGGGCGCGGGGCTCCCGAGGCGTGGGCGAGGAGGGGCAGGGCCGTACCTCCCCGCCCTGCCCCTGTTTCCCCTTCCCGAGGCGTGAAATGGAAATCAAGCAGCAGGGTCTGGGGAGACCAAACCGACCGAGGCCGACGAAGGGCCCCACGCGTTACTGGAAGGCGTTTCCAGTGATCCCCGCCGGGATAGGGTGCGGGGGCCGCTGGCAGGCCGGGCTGGTCTTGCTGCAGGAAAGCAGAGACTGGCAGGGCAGGGGGAGTTGCGTGGTGGGTGGGTCACGGCGTCGGTCAGTTATGGAGCCCTGAGTCACGCTGCTACCTCCCTGCGTCCTGCTGCGGGTGCAGTGGGGTGACAGCTCATGGCTGCCTTAGTAGGCAGCAAGTGCTGGGTCATCCCTGTGTCTGGACACAGACTTCCTGGGGTGGCTCAGGTAGTCAGACCCTTCCTCCAGGGCATCACGGGTGGGGGCTAGGCAGTGTTGTACCCAGCACAAGGCCTGGCTCCTTTGCTGGCCTTTGAGTCCCCTCCCTCCACCCCAGCACCTTCCGTGCTTCCTGGCTTCATTCTGGGGCACAGCTAAAGGGAACCTTGGACCAGTCCCTGAGCCTCAGGTCCCTTTCCTCCAGCGGGTATGTCACATGCTCAGCACAGGCCTGGCCTGTTATCTTGCTCTGGACCTGCTGACTACTGTTTTGTTGCTGCTCTTTGGACTGAGTCCTCTTCCTTGACGAAGTCTGGCATGGTGGCAGCTAGCTATAAGGGGTGTCTACCGCTCATAGTGCTTTGGAAATGCTTTCTTGCGCTTGCTTGATGATTCTCTGTGCAACATTTTGGGGCAAGTGTTCATTGGCCAAACACTGTTCACATTGAAGAAAACTCCGACTGAGGGGCAAATGGCGTTCCCTAGGTCACTTAGAGCCAGGGCTGACTCCCAGTGCCTCTGTTCCTTCTGGGTCTCTCTTCTGGGAGTCTGGCTGCATTAGGTGATCTGTCAGGTGGGGTGGGGGAGCTGGAGAGGGAGGCTGTGTTGTGTGGCCGGTGGACACAGCATTCCAATGCTCCCATGGACAGGGTGGATTGTTCTGGTGCTCCCACCCTCTCAGGCTCCTGACATTTCTCCCCAGTCCTGTGGCTGCTTCATGTTATGATATGTCTGCAAACTGCAGGTCCTTCAGACCAGGCCACTGCTTGCTCCAATGTGTGGTGATGACAGCCCTTCCCTGAATGAAGGGAACAGGCCATCTGCTCTGCCCGGCTGCCCAGCCCCTGAGCAGTTATTACTGCTTCATGCTTTCTTTGTGTTCCCATTTGAGAGCTGCCTTTCGATCGTGTTTCCCCATGGGTGTAACTGTGTGCCGTGTTCTCAGACCAGGTTTCCCCACTAGAGGGGAAGCTCTCTAAAGGCACTGTGGATGGTGCTGGTGCTGAAGACGTCTATGGAGAAATGAGGGGACTCGGACCTCAGAGCCTGTCTGGAGAGAAATGGTCCAGGGCAGGGAGGCTGAGAGGCTTCTAGTGGTGGGGCTGCATTGTCACTGACATCCCAGATGTGAGAGGATGAGGCCTATCCTTTGCTAACATGTTAGTTGGCCTGAGGGCAGCACTGCAGAGTCTGGCATTTGTTGGTCTGGACCACAGGGTTTGACGATGGGCTCCATGAAAGCAAGGTCACCCCAGCACCATTGAGCTGCCCTTTTAGGTTATCAATGCAGCTTTTTTCTTTACCTCACAACTTCCTTTTTAGATTACAAAAATAGTATATGCATGCTCAATAGTAAAAAAGGCTGCTGCCACTTGGGGTGTCTCCACTGAGGTCTTCAGCACCTTACTAACTTTAAGTGCTTGCTTTCTTCCTCTTCTGAGGGGTTAGTGCAGAAGGTGGCCCTTTCCTCCTTTATTAACCATATGGGTTACAGGAGCCACTGTGAGGCTGGGCTGCCTTGTGGGGAAGCCAAATGTCCCTGCCAGGAGGGGCCAAGGTACAGGGGCTGCCCCGCGACTGGAGCTTTCCTTAAAGCTCACTGTATCCCTCATTTGTGCTGCTCCTTTGAACTGTGAAGGGACAGTGACACTTGGTATGAGGCTGAATTAGTGCTCCTAAAAGATCTCGAAGATCTTAGGAAGAGTATCACTATAGAAAATTTGATATGGTGAAATGCCACTGAACAGTCAAAACGACAAAACATAGATTGAGGAGTCTTCAGTTGCCTACAGGGGAGGAAGGTGGAGCATTGCAGTGGGCCGGCTGCTTAGAATATTTACAGACGTCAGGGCTTTCTCAGCCAAGGCCCAGGAATAGCGACACTGTGTTCCCATGTGTGTTTATCTCCTCTGCTGGCAGCTGCCGGGAGAACTTCAGGCGTCATGTGAAAAGAGCAGCTCATGCTTTTCAGCTCCGCCCCTGGGAACTGTCACAGGGTGGGGATGAGGTGCCTGGCCCTGCAGCCTTCCCGTGTGAAGCCTGAGGGACCTCAATCCTCTGCATGGCCCTTCAAAACCAGATGGCTAGCCTTAAAAATATATTCCCAAATGTGTAATGTGCTTTGCATAACAAAATGGGGCCTTACTCCAGGGCCCAGTTAACCTCTGTCCAGAGCCTTAGCACGTAAAGCCAGATAGGATACTGATTTGACGTGAACCGGGAGCCTCACTTTCCTGAGTGTCTCTGCCCCTTCTGCTCTGTGTCGTGGTGAAAATACTTCCCTATTCATTGGTGTGCGTCCCTGTCGTTCATTGCTGCATTCTGACCTGGCATCTCTCCTCCAAGATGCCCTGTTTGCCTTTTTAGTTGACAGAGGGAAGTGCTCCGGCCCAGTGCCCTCTGCCCTGGTGGTTGGCTGTAGACTTGGTCAGGTGTGGCTTTGCTGTCAGCTCATGTGGGTGGCGTTGTGCAGCAGTCACAACAGCCCATCAAGTGCTTGGTCCTGTTTTGAGGCATTTTGAGCTAGGGCTGAGTCTGTTCTTGTCCAGACTCCCATGAACAGCCTCTTCCAGCCTTCTCTGTTTTACTTCCCCCCACCCAGAGGAACATCTTGAAGCCAGGGAGAAAGGAAGGCTGGGTCTGTCCACTTGCTTCTCTTGGGCAGCTTTTGGGGGTGGACAGTCCATTGTTTTCCCTGACATCAAATACGCCTGTGTTGTGTTTAGCTTCATAGATGGTGCAGTAGTCCTAGCTTCCTGATTCCCATCCACATCAGGGTGTGGACACCGTTGCCAGCACCCAGATGTCTCCCTTGTGTCCCTCATTATCCCCTAGACCCGGTGGCTGTGCCCTGACTTCTGGCCTTGTGAACAACTCTTGCTTATTTTTGGCCTCCATGCGAGCACCAAGCCGGGGGCCTCCTGCTCTGCTGTTCTCGTGCGTGGATGCCACTGTGGACATGGGGTAGCTTCCAGTTCTGAACTTACTTGCCTGTGTTGCTTTATGGAAATTGGCACCCACAACAGCACCTGGCATGGCTAGCAGGGGCGGGGCACGGCACACTGGGTCAGAGTTTTAGAAGGTTCTGTGAATAACCAAGAGGGAGACTTGCCCTCCAGGCACCACAGTATGTGCTAAAGCTGAGAGACCTGGTGGCACATGCAGGGTCCTGGGGGGCGGCTCTGTGCCTGGATGTCCGGGGGTGGTGAGGTTGGACAGACTGGACTCCCTGTAGGTGGGGGAAGCATGGGTGTCCATACCTCACACCAGCCACCCAGGCAGAACCTGGGCAGATCTGAGAACTAAGCCAAAATATAACCTCACAAGGAAGTCAAGAGAAAGGTGCTCTTACTTTGGGACAGGGAGGGCGACAGCTGTGTAGGAAAGGTGGGAAGCTTTGCTGTAAAGTAACAGATGTTTTTTCTTTTTTCTTTAACTGTATTGAGGAATAGTGTGTTTTTCTCAGGACCCATCAGCTCTAGTCAAGTTGTTGTTCTTCAATCTTAGTTGTGGAGGGCGCAGCTCAGCTCCAAGTCCAGTCGCCATTTTCTTTTTATTTTTTTTTATTGGGGAATTAGACGATGGGAACAGCACTGGGGAATTGGGGAAGGGGAAAAGACAAGTTGCTGTCGTTTTTTGTTCTTCAGTCTAGTTGTGGAGGATGTTGCTTCACTGGCCCAAGTTGGCACCACCATTGCGCTCTTCCCGGGCGAGGCAGATCAGTCGCCGGCTTCTGGACAGCTGCTCA